CCTCTCCAAACCTCTCCGAACCTTACCTCTCCGAAACTCTCCTCTCCAAACCTCTCCGAACCTCTCCGAACCTATCCAAACTTCTCCGAACCTCTTCTCTCTGAACCTCTCCTCTTCGAACCTCTCCAAACCTCTCCAAACCTCTCCGAACCGAACCTCTCCCAACCTCTCCTCTCCAAACCTCTCCGAACTTCTCCGAACCTCTCCTCTCTGAACCTCTCCTCTTCGAACCTCTCCGAAACTCTCCGAAACTCTCCGAACCTCTCCGAAACTCTCCGAACCTCTCCGAAACTCTCCGAAACTCTTCAAATCTCTCCTCTCCAAACCTCTCCTCTCTGAACCTCTCCTCCCCCCCCTCCCCTCCCCTCCCCTGCCCTCTCCTCCCCTCCTCTCCCCTCCCCTTCCCATTGTCTCTGAATCCAAATTTTTTTCCCATTTGCCGGAATATACTCATGAGGAGCTCAAAGCAGTGCTCTTATTAGGATTATTAACTTCCATTTCAGGAACTTAGCAACAACATTCCTTCCACCCCCTCACTATGCTCTCTATCCAATTAGCTCCATGTTATTATTTTTCCAAGTTTTATAAGGTTCAATCTCTATTAGAAGCTTCATGGAAAGGAAAATCTCAAATGCATGAACTGTGCCACATGTTAGAAGCCAGAAATATTGTTTTAATAGTCCCTTTTTTAAAGTTGAAGTATGATAAAACTTAGATTAGTGCTTGTATCCAAGAGAAATTACAGTAATGCTTGTACCCAAGAAGCAGACTTTTCTGTGAGTTAATCTGCTTTCACCTTTTCTTCGCTTCACTCACCTGATCAAGTTTGCCAACAGTATTTTCCCCGGTATAAGGATGTGATATGCTGTGCTCTGTCATAATCCTTTCCTCCTTCCCACAATTTATTCATGTGTTGCCTTCCTACATTACAGTCTTCTTGTACAATCTCCCTGAAAAAAGACTGTACATTTTTTACATTGCGAAGCATTTTTCATATTAAAGGTGACTTAGAAATAATAATAATACTTAGGACTGCATGCAAACTGATATAAATGAGCAAAAATAGTCATAAATATTCCCAATAAATAAATATACTTAGATTTACCACATACCCAGGAAATGAAAGAAAAAAAAATGTTATATGGCACAAAAACATTTCAGGCATTTCTGTATATATTGTTTGTTACCGTCACATGCACCTACCTAATCAAAGTCTATTGAAAAATTCATATAGGCTTTGTAGGGCTTTGAGCAAATCTCTCTGTTTCATTAATGTTAATTTTTGGGGGGAGTTTATAAAGCAATTGGTTTAATTCATAAAGAGTACCTATTTCTTTTTTAAGTTTGCATACAGATAAAATAATTCTAGAAGGTCAATTCTCTCTCAGGTCCACAGCATGAATGACCAGGGCAGGAAGTGGAAAAAGTAGCTGACCATGTTTATTTTCTACAGTAGTAAAGTTCATCTCTGAAAAATAATATAATGGGTTGGTGTCCATTACATTAAAAAAACAAAACCAAAACCAAACAAAGCAACAAAATAAACCAACCAACCAAAAAAAAGAAAAAAGGCAACCTATTAGTAAATAATTAAAAATAGGTGCAGACATTTCCATAGGAGGAGTTATAGCCATGATTAACCATTAGTGCATATTCAGCTCCCCAACTCCTAAGCAGGCAGAGAGCACTTATCTGCAATGATACTAACAAGTATCATATATATATATATATATATATCTCGTATATACATATGATATGTAATCATACTATTACATATCATACTAGTACAAAGCTTTCAGAACTGTCTGAGTCTGAGCTTTTAAAGCAACCTATTGGTATAATTCCATGAATTTTCAGTGAGCAATTTGAAGCAATATAAAGAAGAAAAATTAATATAGTGGAATATTTTAAGGTTCTGATGTTAGGTTTCATTTCACAGTGGGATAAGAAAAAACAAGATGTTTTAAATAAGTATTATTTTGAAATGAATGCACAATAGAAATGTTTCACCAATAATAATTTTGTAGGCATATTACAGTAACTGCTTATAAATCTTAAATACTAAATAAAGCAAACACTGGCTGTCCAAAAGACAAACCACAGCTAAAATATTATATCATAAAAAAATAAGTTTGTTTCTCATTATGAGACATATTTTGGTGTTCCCACTACTAAAAATTGGATAAAGTATTATAATCATTTACCTTGAGTTGGCAGTACATTGTTCTGGAAAGTTTGTAAAGACATCTGCCAGACATTTCTCAATTATCAAGACTCTCACAATAATATTTTGCGTGTTCTTCAAAAACTTTTGAATATTCTTAATGTTTCTGGAATCTAAAATCATGCCTTTTGGGAGCTAACTTTGTAAGTCAGTCTTGATAAAACATAAATCTGCTCACATCTGAAATAGTTCACCGGCCTTTGTTTTCGAACATGTGATATGTGCCTTATAAGCAAATTGAAGATTCACTGAATATATCAGATAAACAGACAGATAAACAAGGACCACTACAATTTCTGTGGATTTAGTTGCTCTGGTTATTGGGTCACGGGACAAATTTCTGATTCCTTCTCTTATACCAATTTATTTCTCCTAATTTGTGTATTTTATGCTCTTCCCATTAAGTTTTTTGGTTGTCCAAAAACTGTATGAAGTTTAAGCCTTCTAGTCTATGGACTATGAGAGAAATATCCAGAGGGCAGTTCGCTGGTGCAATAAGTGAAATGAAAAGAAGAACCGGTCAGATACACACATAAGTGTCACTCAACTACTTTGCTGGAAATCAGTTGTGTCCTTATACTCTCTTTTGAGTGTACTAACTTTGTCTGAACTTCCAAGATAAATCCCACTGAGTCAGCAGGATCATTCCGTCAGATTGAATCATGTTATATTTTGAGTGACTTTGCTGGTTAGAGCTACCTCGATCTCTAGAAAAACATTGGAAAATACTGTTAAAGATTTTTAAAGAAAAGTAAGATTAAGTAATGTAATGAAAATCTGTTTGGTCTTGGTTAAAATGGTACAAATGGTGTAGAATATGATGAAATTTCTGGTTTAAAATTTTACTACCTTCTAACATTTTTCAGTCTTTATTACTCTGATCAAACTGGGAAAAAAAAAAGAGGCTGACTTTCAGAAAGTTATAAAAAGTATGCAGACGTTTTGATTAGTTAGTTTTGTAGTAATTTGGATCATCATAAGCAAGTTCATAGTCAGTATTCCTTGGCATAAGTGCTATACATGGCTTTTTGTCAGCCAGTGCACTTGAATCTGCTGCAGTCCACTTTGGAGCATCAGCTAACTGGATTTGTTAATAATTAGTTTTGTAGTTCATTGTTATTCATCATAGTGTAAGGTACTTTGGCAAAAAAAAAAAAAAGAGGAAAAGTGGAAAAAAGATATGACAGAACTTGTCTCTAGTTGATTGTCTCTCTAGTAGTGTACCTATAAACTGATCCAGAGCATTATGCTCATCTCCTTTAAGAAATAATTGTCAGTTTGAGGTGCTTATGGTCTTAGCAGAAGAAGTTTTTAATGGGGGAAGGCATACAGAGGCCTGCAAGTTTATCAGTGCGGATGCAAAAGTTGGTAATCTTTATCCACTACCCTTCTCTCTGTCTTGGCTAGTAAAAGAAATGGATTTCAGTTTTCAAATCCTTTGAGAACAGTGTTGGGGTTTTTGTGTGTGTTTTGTTGTTGTTGTTGTTTTTGTTTTAATTAAGCACAAGGAATTTATCTTATTTACATACAATAAGCCAACAATGAACCAACATCTGGCACTGTCCTTCTTAAATATAATACTTTGATACTGGTTTTTCAATGTTGAAGCACAGGTGGTGGACTGACATACTTAATGTATTCTCTTATGAGTAATACTGTTGACACTTGAAGGTGTTACTTTGTGTTGATAGTACTTGTTCAAAGCAGATGATCTCTTATGTTACAGGCACCACAGAATGCTAAGGTGCTGTACTTCTCTCAGCTCTGCTGATGAGGAGAAATCAGTGAACACCAAGGAATTCAAATATCTCTTGCCTCAGTCCATATGAACACATAACACAGTAAAGCAACATGCTGTAGCCTTGAGGGTTATACTATCTGCTTCTAGAAAAGCTCTGTGGAGAAAAGAAAAATAGATAAAGAGAGGGTTGATGTTACAAACATACCAGAGGACCTCTTCACCTTTATGTACAAGCCAGTGACAGTAACAGTTTCTCCTCTAAAATGTCTTTCTTGTTCCTTTCCATTCATTTACTGCAGAGTTTTCACTATATAAAATGATGAACATAGTTACTTGTGTGTTTGCTTTTGAATCAGATGGTTCAGCTACCTACATCTTCCACCCTGAGAAGCAGAGAAGAAATTACTCATATTCCTGTGCCCATTGAATAGTTCAAGCAATTAAATGACTGCGAAGGAAATAGTGACAAAACCTTTTTCTTTGACACAGATGCATTATGCATCCACAGCCTCAAAAATGTCAGAAGTTCAGAACAAGCAGAAAAGATCACATCCAGCTCCACTCCAAGAGCAACAAGTATGCCCTGTTTGACCAGACAATTATAGGACCCCAGCTGGAGGCTTCGGTCAACAGAGGTTGGACATACGTACATCTTTCCCTCCAGGTACCTAAACTGCCAGAAGAAGAAGAAGGGTAGGCTGAGAGAGATTAAATTAAATTAAATTTAAACAAATTAAAATGAACTCTAGTATAGGCTATGTGATAGATGTAATACATGCTGATCTTTAGCCATCACTCTAGGTAAACTGTAAATTGTTTGGAATATGATGATACTTGTATCCTGCAAATTTACAAACTAAAAGATTCATGTCATTCAATCAGGGGAAATCTGGAAGAAAAGTAGAAGCTGGTAATAAATGAATTATCCAAAAACTGGGTAATATAGGAAAATTAGATATCTTCAGACTTATAGATGCAGTATATTCAGTTACGGTGTGGGTGCTTTTAACACCAAGTCTGAAAAATCAAATAGGAAGTTTAAAAGATTTTTCAATTTATCACTGCATTAGAAAAAAAAAAAAATCCAACAAACAACCCAAACACTCCACAACCTTTAAAATATTACAAACTGCATTGAAATATTTAGGAATATATATATAAAATATATTTATGTGATTAGATAATCTCCTCAAGGTGAGCAAGAATGCCCATTAGAAGCTCTATATCAGAAAAAATAACTACTTTAAAATTATTCTACACAGTAAACACATTTTATCACATTCACTGAAGACATATTTTAAAACTAGGTATTTTGCTATAAGTGGCTTATATGAACAAATTTTCACCTAGAGGTTAACTAAGAATTTTGAATTGTGGGTTTGATAAGGCAATATTTATCCTATGCATCTTAGTCAGGCTAGATTCTATGCTGAATTACAACCTGAGAAGTCCCATGGAAGGTGACTTCGTTATGCAGGCTATACACCAACACAGAACTTACTGTATTTAATGCAAGACATTAATGTAGCCTAAAGATATGTTTTCATTTGCACAGATTTAACTTTGTTAGGGCAGGGCACCCAAAGATGAGATCAGCATTGAACTCTTTAATTTGAAAATACTGAAAGGAAAAACAACATTTACATCACAATTAGAGATTGTATTCCTTCATGTATTAGAAGAAGGAAACCAAGGTTAATGAATATACCAAGCTGATATTAAAAATCTTTTCATTCCTTAAAGAGGACCCAGAAGAGCAACATTTTGCTGTAAAACTAAATTAAATACCTTTAAATTAATATACTGATTATTTAATATAATTAAAAAGAAATCAGACAAGATATGACAACAGAATTACTGGTTTCAGTCCTTTTCTTGTTGCATTGTTCTAGTACCTATCATTACTTTACACTGAAATTTCTTTAAGTAGTTCTACTATCATCTGTGTATATATATATTGCAATGGAAAAAAATGAAATTATTTAGGATTACTAAATAAGTAAATTTTGTAACACCAGACAGTTCAAACCAAATGTGACTTTTTACAAAAGTAAGCTTTGCAATTATAGTCTCGGATTTTTTTTAATCTTAGGATATAGAAAACTTGATTTTAAGATTTTATTCTATCAATAATTTCACTATTACATTAAACCAAGATTTTCAATATGGCACAATCTGTTTATATGGTGTTTCAACATAGAGAGGTAATAAAAAAAATTACATTATTGCTCTTTGTGAATAGAGAAGGACTCGTGGGGGTTGTGGTGGTATGCCTTGGCCACAGTGATCACGAAGTGGTTGTGTTTAACTTTTCAGTGTAATGAGAAAAAGAGGTCAACAGAGTTGTTACCCTGGATTTCAAGAGGACAAGGTTCAAGCTACTCAGGGAGCTACTTAGCAGAGTCCCAGTGAAATCTGCCTCTGAGGGCTTCTGTGTCCATGGCTGCTGATCAGTTCTTAAGAAGCACCTTTTAAAAGCATAGGACCAGGCAATTCCACCATGTTCAACATCAGGCTGAACAGGGAACTTGTCTTGGAACTCAAGCAGAAAAGGAAATTATATGTGTGGAAGTAAGGTCAGGCTTTGCAGGAAAGTTACAGAGCTACGGTTCATATATGCAGGGAGAAGATATGAAAGACCAAAGTGCAGCTAAGAGTTGAGACTGGCCAGTGTTGTGTCACATAACAAGAAGGCCTTTTTAAAGTACATTAATAGTAAAGGAAGTCTAAGGAAAAGACTGGGAGATTACTTGCTGAAGATGATCACCTAGGAAATCAGGATGAAGAAAAAGTGGAGCCATTCAATGATTTTTTTCCCCCTCAGATTTTAATAACACTGACAGACCTTGGGTTACCTGGTCCTCTGAGATGTAGGGACAGCCTGTTTCAGCATCATCATCACTATGGGATCAGAAGAATCTCTACTCTGGCTCGTGGAGCACTTCCTCAATTTCTCCTTCACTGACCTTGGTGTATGCAGGGCTCTTTCTTCCACATACCCTCACTCCTCTCTCCTAGCTGCTCTTGTGCAGAAGATTTCAACCTTTCTTAAATATGTTACCTCAGAGGCATACCAGCATCATCAATTGGCTCAGTTTGGTCAGCAGCACGTCTGTCTTGGAGTTGGCTGGTGCTGGGTCTGTCAGACATGGAGGCAGTTTCTGGCACCTTCTCACAGAAGTCACCCCTGCAGCACCTTTGCTACCACAACCTTGCCTCTCAAACCCAATACATTAACGTAAGTGCTGCCAGAGAGCCGGTATCACTCCTACTCTCCCACCCCCCACTTCCAAGCACCAAGGCCAGGGTGCCCAAGCTCTTTGAGCAGCGGTCCTGGCAACCATTAGAAAAAAAATATTTAGGTACCATAAAAGCATCAGTATTTATTAGCTTAAGTGCTAATGATAGATATAACTCTGTTTATTACAGAGATAGTAGACATTACAGACAGTTGCACTAGGTCTCTTTCCGGTAATACTCATATGAGTTGGTAGTTTAAAACAATTTGGAGCCACAGCTCAGCTGATTACATATGGCTTTCTCGGTGAAGAGATGCAATTACAACGCCTAGTTGACCTTCTCTGTTTAGGAATCCTTGTGACAGGTTTTTAAATACTGCGTTTCAGAGGGGTGAAAGAATTAAAGAACTCAGACAAAGCAACTGTGTGATCATGATGAATGCCCTGGTGGAATGACTTCGAAAGTGTAAACTCTTGAACTGAGCACAGAAATTCTTTTAACTGTGGTTTGTATAAACATTTCACATCTTGCACCATAGCAAACCTGTGCCCTCACTATGCTAAGATTAACTTACAGTGCTTGGAAGTATGCAGAAATTGTTTAACATATAACCTTATAGCATGGGTTTTACTCCTTTCTTAGCAGAACATTTATATTTTATCTGAAGAAAAAGCAATATCCTATTGTAACAACTTTAAAGGCTTGTTAGAAACTTTCATATAATAAAGCAAATATAGTACTGGTCACGCCGTGCTGCACTGCCTGGCGGTGCCTGGGGTTGCACCCTCGAGGGAGAGGAGAGCAGGAACTTTGGAGCTCACAGAGGTTTGCCCGTCCAATCTGGGGGAGTGGGAGAGGGATGGGTGGGCCATGGGGTCCCCAGACTGGCAGGAGGGTGGGCGGGGCAGTCCTGCGTGGGGTGTCACGGGTAAGCAGTGCGATGGAAGATCTGTGGTAACGCAGTGGGAGGAGGGTAAGGTCAGGGTGGATAGGGGCTTCTTCTAGGGGGTTGAGGGGTTTAGGCTGGGCTGGGGCCATGGGAGGTACCCGAACCCCAGGTGGGTGAGGGGACCGGAATGGTTCACTTTTTGCTCACCTGTGGCTGCTGCCCAGCAACAGTTTGCTTTGGAACTATAGCGTCCTGAAAGGGTGCTCAGGGCAAGGGAACGTCCCTGGGAACATCTCTGAGTCCGAGTATAGGTGGCTGGGAGAAAAGTAGGGAGCGAAAGACTTACCCTAACCATATTAATGGGGAAGTAGCTTGTGTGCCCCTATGAGGTTGTGAGCTATGCTGGCAATGGTACATGCCTTCGGCAGGGTCTCCCATACCAGACAGGTCAAAACTGAAGGGTAAGATAAAACGTGTCCATGGGCATGATGGGCTCACTAGCCTTCCAGCAGTCATCCTAGGAGAAGGACAACTCTAATTCCAAACCTAGGCAGATGGAGCTCACTTAGCCCTGTAAGGCTAAGAGAATTCCAAGCTCACTAGGCCCTGGCAGATGAACCTTAGGATTAAAGGGTGGGTCTAGTTCTGCACATGCTGCGTCTCACCTAAAAAAATCCATTGCACAGGCTCGAAGGCTTTACCCACATTTGCAAAGCCCTGTAGTGACAGGTGAGGGTCGAAACGGCAGGTGATAAGATGCACTGGAAGCCACAGACCCAACCCTGCATGCAGGCGGTTCAGGACATTGGTCACCTGAGACTGACCCCGGAGATGACAGTCTCATTCGGCAGCATCCTGAATGACCAACCAGCCTTTTTCAAGGAGAGCACTGCTTGCTCCACACAGAGATGGGCCTAGAAAAGGGGCCTAACCAAAGCTTATCTCCACCCTTCACCCGATTGGTTAACCGCAGCCAACGGGCATCTTCTGATGCGGTCACACAAAGATTAAGAGACAAAGGCATACACCTGCCTTCAAAAGTGTACCCAAATTGACTCTCGCATGCTGGAACATCAGAATCATGCTTGATACTGCAGGGAGTGGACATCCTGAGCGTCGTTCTGCCCTAATTTTCCAGGAACTGTCATGTCTCAACATCGACATTGCTGCTCTCAGTGAAGTTCATCTCCATGAGGAAGGCAGCCTTAGAGAACACGATGCCAGTTACACACTCTTTTGGTCAGGTAAACCCAGAACCAAAAGGCATCTTTCAGGAGTTGGCTTCATGATTAAAAACTCTATTGTCCTTGAACTTGAAAATCTGCCGACAGGTCATTCTGATCGCGTTATCTCCGTACGCCTTCCACTACACAACAAGCAACATGTTGTCCTCTTTAGTATATATGCCCCAACTCTCCAAGCTGACCCTGACGAAAAAGATAAGTTTTACACTGACCTGCATCGCCTTACCCAAAAGATTCCCGCAGATGATAAGATCATTATCCTTGGTGATTTCAATGCCAGAGTAGGAAAGAACTTTGAAGCCTGGAAAGGAGTATTAGGCAAGCATGGTGTTGGAAACTGCAATGATAATGGTTGACTTCTGCTACAATTCTGTGCGGAGCAGCAGCTCACCATCACCAACATTATCTTTCAGCAGAAAAATAGTCTGAAGACAACCTGGATGCATCCTAGATCCAAGCATTGGCACCTCATTGATTATGTCTTGGTGAGACAGAGAGATGTTTGGGATGTCCACCATACCCGCATGATGCCCAGTGCAGAATGTCAAACAGACCATCGACTTGTGTGCTGTAGACTTAACTTCAACCTTAAGTTCAAACCTAAAAGGAGTGGTATCCCAAGGAGGAGACTGCAAGTTAACAATCTTCAAACAGCTACAGTGAGAGACAGATTCCAGGCAAATCTTCAAACTGGTCTCGAAGATCATTCCATAGATCCCTCTCCTGAAGCACTTTGGCAACATATTAAAAATAGCATCCTGCAGTCCTCTGAAGAATCCTTAGGATTCTCCTTCTAGAAGAACAAGGACTGGTTTGATGAAAACAATCAAGAGATCCAGGTATTGTTGAGGAAGAAGAGAACTGCTCACCAAGCACACCTTGCACAGCCATCCTGTCATGTAACAAAAGCAACCTTTCATCTTGCATGCAGCAAGCTCCAACAGAAACTTTGTGACATCCAGAACAAGTGGTGGATCGATCTAGCTGAAAAAACACAATTATGCGCAGATACAGGTGATCACAGAGGATTCTATGAGGCCTTGAAAACAGCATATGGGCCTACATAGCAGGTCCAAAGCCCTCTACTCGGTGCAGATGGTCAAATGCTTCTCACAGATAAAACCTCCATTCTGAATCAATGGTCTGAACACTTTCAGACTCTTTTGAAAACTAGCCGTGTAGTTCAAGACTTAGCAATTCAGTACATTACACAACAACCAGTGAAGAATGAATTGGATACTGCCCCTACTATGGGAGAAACTCTTAAGGCCATACAGCAGGTGAAAACTGGCAAGGCAGCTGGGGTTGATGGAATTCCACCTGAAGTCTGGAAACATGGGGGCCAAGCACTCCATGCTAAAGTTCATGAGTTTGTGGTGCACTGTTGGGAACTAGGCAAACTACCATCAGACCTTTGTGATGCAGTCATCATCACTTTGTATAAGAAGAAAGGAGATAAACCAGACTGTTCAAATTACTGTGGTATTACTCTACTCTCCATTGCTGGCAAAATCCTGGCAAGAATTCTCTTGAACAGACTAATACTCGCTATAGCAGAAAGAATTCTACCTGAAAGCCAATGTGGTTTCAGAGCCAACAGGAGCACCACAGACATGGTATTTGTTCTCATGGCTCTTTGTTGATTTCACCAAGGCTTTTGATACTGTGAGCAGAAAAGGTCTATGGCAGATTTTGGAACGTTTAGGTTGTCCCCCCAAGTTCCTTAAAATGATCATCTCACTTCATGAGGATCAGCACGGCCAAGTCAGATATGGCAATGCACTTTCTGAGCCCTTTCTAATAACCAATGGTGTGAAACAAGGCTGTGTTCTCGCACCAACCCTATTCACAGTCTTTTTCATCATGATGCTCCCAAGGGCCGTGGCAGACCTCGATGATCAGGACGGTATCTACATTTGATATCGTACCGATGGAAGCCTCTTCAACCTAAGGCAACTGAAGGCCCACACTAAGACCTTAAACCATCTTGTCCGGGAGCTGCTTTATGCTGATGATGCCACCCTTGTCGCCCACACAGAAGCAGTTCTGCAGCATTTAACATCCTGCTTTGCTGAGGCTGCTGAGCTTTTTGGGCTGGAAGTCAGTTTAAAGAAGACAGAAGTTCTCTATCCACCTGCACCTCAGGAAGTCTTCCATCATCCCCATATCACCTTTGGCCAATCAGAGCTCAAATCAGTCCAGCAGTTTAATTACCTAGGCAGCCTCATCTCCTCGGATGGTGAGATTGACAGGGAGATAGACAACAGGTTAGCAAAGGCATACAGTGCTTTCAGAAAACTCCATAAAAGAGTCTGGTGAAATGAACACCTGAAGAAAAGTACAAAGATCAGTGTTTACAGAGCCATTGTACTGTCTACTCTTTTATATGGATCCGAATCATGGGTCATCTACCGCCACCACCTGCAACTCTTAGAACGCTTCCATCAGCTCTGTCTCTGTACAATCCTAAACATCCACTGGTCAGATTATGTGAC